AGAGAATAGGATAGACAGCAGAATACATCAGACACTAGAATGGGAATATGTAAATCAATGGAAGTGTAACTGATGTGATACAGCAATCTGTATACGGGGTAAAAATGGGAGTTCATAACCCACTTGAATCAAACTGTGAAATATGATATATTAAGAACTGTGTAATGTTTTTAACTACCAACAATAAAAAAAATTTAAAAGTATGTCATAAACTGGGATAAAACTGTTCACAACAAACATATCTGACAGAGGATTTTTATTTCAAACATATAAAAAGGATACCTATAAATCAGTGATTTCCAACGGAAGGTGATTTTTCTTCCCTAGGGACAGTTCACAATATATACAGACATTTTTGGATGCCACAAATAGAGTAGGAATTCTAATGGCTTCTGTCCGTACAATATCTTTCAGTAATAAAAAAAGAAATAAAGTTCAAAATGACAATTAAATACCACTTCACACCCAATAGAATGACTATAATAAACAAGTCAGATAATACCAAGTGTGTTGGCAAAGATAGGGGAAAATCAAAACTTTATATACTGCTGGTGGGAATACAAAATGATGCAGCCACCTGTAAAAGGCTTTGGTGCTTCCTCAGAAAGTTAAACATAAAGCCACCATATGACTGAGCAGTTCCACTCTCAGGGGTGTGTGTTTGTGTGTATCCAAGAACAATGAAAACCTATGTCCATGCAAAGACTTATATATGAATGTTCATAGTAGTACTATTCATATTAGCAAAAGATGGAAACAACCTAATGCACATCAACTGATGAAAAGATAAATAAAATGTTGCAGAAACATACAATGGAATATTTTTTCAGCCATAAAAATGAATGAAGTAATTATACATGGCATAACATGGATGAACTCTGAAAGCATTATGCTAAGTGAAAGAAATCAGTCACAATCCAGGTATGGTGGTACATGCCTGTAATCCCAGAGGCTTGGGAGTCTGAGGCAGGAGGATCATGAGTTCAAAGATAACCTTAGGTGAAGCACTAAGCAACTCAGTGAGGCCCTGTCTCTAAATAAAATACAAAATAGGCCTGGGGATGTGGCTCAGTGTTGGAGTGCCTCTGAGTTCAATCCCTGGGACCCCCAACTCCAAAAAAAAGTTAAAATTAATCACAAAAGACCACATGTTATATGATAAAATTTATTTGCAATGTCAATAATAAGCAAACATATGGAAATAGAAAGTAGATTTCTAGTTACTTAGAGGTGGAGACATGGCATAGAGAGTTGAAGTGTAATGGCTAAGGGATATGGAGTTTCTTTTTGGAATAATGAAAATGTTCTAAAATCAATTGGGTGATTGTTGTACAACTCTGTGGGAATACTAAGAAAACATTCAATCGTACATTTATATGGGTGAATCATATAGTATGTAAATCATAGCTCATTAAAGCTGTTACCAAAACAAGAGAATGAAATATCTGATACACAAACATGTAGAACACTAAAAGATAAAACATTATATGACTAAAAGAAATAGACTCCAAAGAATGTATATTGTGTTATTCCATTTACACAAGATTCTAGAATAAGAAAGTCAATCAATAGTGACAAAAAACATATCCATGTCTACCCATGAGAGTCAAGAACCAATTGAGAATGAAAATGAAAGAACTTTCAAGTGTCATTGACACGTTTTGTGTCTTGATTTATAGTAGAAGAAATGCCTATATTCCCTGAAATTCATTGGATTGTACACTTAGGATATCTGCACTTCACTGTATGTAAATTTTATCCCAATTAAGAGAGAATATAGGAGACAGAAGAAAGGAAGAGAGGAGAAACAGAAGAGGGAAAGAGAGGAGTGGGGAGGGAGCAAATTTAGGAAATATTTATAAAGTAGAATCTGTAGATTTGGCATTTGGATGAACATAATGTCTCAAAGTGAATTATATGTAAAGTACCTATGTGTAAAGTATCTGTAGGAATGCAATTATGGCTTCTGGATTTCTAACTTGGCCCCCAAATAGGTGTTTCTCTGCCTCTGGGGTGGGATCAGTGTCTAAGATACAGAAAGGAATGGTAAAAGGGATACCCAAAGAAAGAAATGACAATGAGTACCAGTTTCCGAGCATACTAAGGGCTGAACTTGAGCCCAACTTGAAAGTTTCTAGATCTTCTCATAGGACACATCTCCACACCAGATTCTCAAACTGAGAGGGAAAATGCTAGTGGTATCCTCATGGCTAGTTCATACTCAGAGAGGCCTACATTTCCCAATCTTTCTTCTTATCCCTACCTGGGCCATCAAGTTTGGCTCAATAGAGTGGCACTCTCTCTGAGAGCAATGGGACATCTCCATGGAGTCTGTTGTGGGGGCCACATCTCTTGTATCTGAACAAGATCCTGCTTCCCCTTCCACCTATGCCCTAATGCCTAAAGTTGTTCAGGGCCCAGAAGGTGAAATGTGGGCCCCTAGGTTTTGGCCTACTGTCAGGGTCACCAGGAAAAGAGTAGTAGAACTCAAGTCACGGCTTATGGGTTAATTTGGGTGCATACTTGGGAAAGATCATGCTCCCTTTAAGATGGGAGCTTGAGGCTGAAGATTTTGAGCATGAACATGATCTAAGAGAAATCATCCTATTCCCCATGTTTCAGAAACCATCCACTTTCTCTGTTCCCTTCCCACATCCCAAGAAGAGTACCGAGATGGAAGTGTGGATGCAGGCCACAGCAGGACAGCATCTGGTCCCCAAAGACAAAGCCATGGTCCTAGAAACACTGTGTCGGGGGGGCGAGTGGGACGGCGAAGGCAGTAAAGAGCTGGGATGAGGTGCCAGAAATTTGGGAGTCAGTTTCTTCAGAAGTCTCCTCAGGTGAGGAAAAGTAACCTCAGTTACCATGGGGGGGCAGCAGAGGCCAATTTACAGAACCCTGAGCCTAGAAGAGGAACTCCTGGGTTAGAATGTTTGGGTCTATACACTGAGTCAAATCCAGGGTCAGCTCAAGCCCAGACCACCATCAGCTCCCTGCAGCCCAGTAGAGACCTGATGGGGTTGGAGGAGGTGTTATCCAAAGAACAGCCAGAGAAGTCCAAGAAGAGGAAAGACTCCAGGACAGTAGGGCAGCCCGGGGAACCAAAATACCCCAATAGAGAAGTTCATGGTAAGGAAGGAGGGCAATTGTTTGCATCTAATTTAGTTCAGTCCTTTCTGTATCTGTGCATGAAAATCTCTCTCTCCCTGACTCTCACATAAATATACTATCTCCCACTTTTTTATTTTTTTAATTGTTGATAGACCTTTATTTTATTCATTTATTTATATGTGGTGCTGAGAATCGAACCCAGTGCCTCACACATGTCAGGCAAGTGCTCTACCACTGAGCCCCAGCCCCAGCCCATGTAATCTCCCACTTTTGATATTCTAGGCTGAGCTCTTCCAGCCTAAAGCTCTTGCTCAGAATAACTGCCTCAATTTCTGCTGCAAATCACCTAAGTGATGTTTTTGTTGTTGTTTGTTTGTCTTTTGCTTGTTTGTTTTTTTCTAACATGTCCACCATGCTGATCTCTCTTACCTGGAAGAACCATGCTTTTTCTTTTCTTTTCTTTTCTTTTCTTTTCTTTTTCTTTTTAGTTATACATGATAGTAGAATGTATTTTGGCAGAATATACATACATAGAGTATAGCCTATTGTATTTAGGTTCCCACTCTTGTGATCGTACATGATGTGGAGTTACCCTGGTCATATATTTAAATACAAAGCTAGGAAAGTTATGAACAATTAATTCTACTGTCTTTCCTGTTCCCCTCCCACCTCCTTTCATTTCGTCAGCGATTTCTTGGGGAAAAAGTATCAGACTGGTAACCAGCCCTAGCCTGATTGGCTATTAACCTCAAAAGGGTTTGGCCACACACATTCTACAAATGAAATGAAAGCCAGAACTCCTGAAATGGGGGAGTCCAAAACTGAACACAGACTTCAAAACAGAAAGAGATAACCTGCTAAGTGAATGAGCCTGAGGCACACTCCATACCAGAGAAAACACAGCTGATATAATAAACAGGCCCAGATATAAATTTAGATCAATCAGTGAAGATGCCAAGCTTCCCTGAGGAATTTCCTGGAAAGATTTCGCTTGCTTTTCCTCCTAAACTCTCAGGTCATGTGTCAGGTTCAGACCAAAGCCAAGAGACCACCCAGCTTCCTTCCTACAAGACTAGGGATTCAGCCTCCTTTCCTTTTCTCCTTAAAGCTGCCATTTGCTGCTGTGCCCTTTGGGTGGGGCTCAGTTCTCTTTTGGGCTAAAGAGAGATAAAATCTTCTCAGCATTTCCCCCAAATAAATCTACAGACAATCCTCAAGTTAAAGGCTCTACTGACAGCCACCAAGGCAAACCAAATAGAGGTTAACAAAACCGACACATTGTGCATACTACCAAAGGTGAAATGTTGCAGTGGAATAAGCATAAAATAACAAAGTCATCATTCAAAGTCCCCAGACAGCCAGACACAGTGACACACACCTGTATTTCCAGTAACTCAGGAGGCTGAGACAGGAGGTTTACAAATTTGAGGCCAGCCTCAGCAACTTAGCAAGGCCCTAGCAATTTAGTGAGACCCTGTCTCAAAATAAAAAATAAAAAAAGTCTGGGCATATGGCTCAGTGGTACAGCACCCCTGGGTTCCATCTCTAGAAATGGAAAAAAAAATCAGAATCCAAAGTCCCCAAATAGTTAGAAATTGGGCTCTGTGGAATCTCAGTTTGGCTTCTTCCCTCCACTTTCCTTATCTTGAGGGTGGGGTACACACTCCCCCAATTGCCCCCCCAACACACACACACACACACACACACACACACACACACACACACACATCCCTCCCAACCCAGACCTGAGATAAGCACCACATGCCATGCAGCCCCTCTTTCCCTGCATGGGTAATCTGTATCTCTGAGGATGTTCATCCTGGGTGATGAAGAGAAGCACCCAACCCACAAGCCTCTGCTATACATAGAAATTTTCCCCTCTGGGAGTTTCTTCCCAGTAGAGAACCAGACTTAATAACCTGCCTATGAATGTGTCTCAGCAACAGAACAGAATAGAAAGATACCAGGAGGGAAGAAAAATGGAGTGCTTACCCTGTCCTACAAAAAACAGTTCACAGTGGACTAATATGTACTGAGGGCCATGTATAAGACACTTTAGCGCCATCATAACATTTTATCTACACAACAGCCTTATGAAGTGGCTATTTTCCCCATTTTCGTGGAAGGAAAACAGGCACTGATTGCTTGTGCTTAGAAGTATTAGGCTGGGATGTAAACCCAGGCCTGCAGGACTCCAAGAACGAGTCTGCTACCAAAGTGCTGTTTTCTGGAGAGAGTGGGAGATCTAGGACCCCCCTGGGACATAACTAGTCCCCACAAGACCATCTGAAAAAGGTAAATGCCAGATTAAAGGGCTATGGCCCAAGCTACAGGAAGAGAACCACAACTTTCTAGTGGCAGGCCAGATACAGGGCCAAAGTACAACTCATGCCAGGGTATAAAACTCCCTCGGACACCCCCCCACCCCA